ATAGTGCCCCATCATTGGTGTCAGTGGGGGGGGGAGGAATAGTGCCCCATCATTGGTATCAGTGGGAGGAATAGTGCCCCATCATTGGTGTCAGTGGGGAGGAATAGTGTGCCCCATCATCATTGGTGTCAGTGGGGAGGAATAGTTCCCCATCATTGGTGTCAGTGGCAGGAATAGTGCCCCCCATCATTGTATCAGTGGAGGAATAGGTAGTGCCCCATCATTGGTGTCAGTGGGAGGAATAGTGCCCCATCATTGGTGTCAGTGGAAGGTTAGTGCCCCATCATCGGTGTCAGTGAGAGGAAAAATGCCCCATCATTGGTGTCAGTGGGAGGAATAGTGTCCCATCATTGGTGTCAGTGGCAGGAATAGTACCCCATCATTGGTGTCAGTGGGAGGAATAGTGCCCCATCATTGGTGTCAGTGGGAGGAATAGTGCCCCATCATTGGCGTCAGTTGCAGGAATAGTGCCCCATCATTGGTGTCAGTGGGAGGAATAGTGCCCTGTTATTGGTGTCATTGGGAGGAATAGTGCCCCATCACTGGTGTCAGTGGGAGGTTAGTGCCCCATCATCGGTGTCAGTGGGAGGAATAATGCCCCATCATTGGTGTCAGTGGGAGGAATAGTGCCCCATCATTGGTATCAGTGGGAGGAATAGTGCCCCATCATTGGTGTCAGTGGGAGGAATAGTGCCCCATCATTGGTATTAGTGGCAGGAATAGTGCCCCATCATTGATGTCAGTGTGGCAGGAATAGTGCCCCATCATTCGGATGTCAGTGGCAGGAATAGTGCCCCATCATTGGTGTCAGTGGGAGGAATAGTGTCCCATTATTGGAGACAGTGGCAGGAGTTATGCCCCACTGTTGGTGTCAGTGGAAGGAAAAGTGTGTCATACCAGTTGGAGGAATGGTGCCCCAAGGGCTAGAAAAGCTAGCAAAGGGCCGCATCTGTCCCTCATGCAGCAGTTTGGAGACCCCTGCTCTAGGATCCTAATTGTGGGAGGAGTAGCCTGGAACTGGACCATATCCATTAAAGTTCACTCTGGGCTTTTAGAAGAAGAGCGACTTTTTCTTTTTTTTTTGTTTTTTTTGGGACACCAACAACTATGTAGTGTAAGGGCCTCCCTGATTGGATAATTCAGGTAGGTCATCATACTGCACAGATTTGATAAATCTTAAGCTGATTGTACAACGATCGTATGGCCAGATTGTAATGTGTATGGTGACCCTAACACTGCATGGATATTCTTAGATGGATGGATGCCTCCCCTCTTTGGCTGCACCATTGTCCTCTTCCTGCATTTGATGTGTCCAGCCACTCACAAGCAGGGCCGTCTAATTAGCATCATGGGCCCTGGGCAAAGTAATGCACTGGGGCCCCTACCAGCTGCCTCAATTTCCGCTCCTACTCTAAAGAATTAAAGAATAAAATAGTTTATAGAATTAAACATATACAGTATTTATTAGTACTTTCAATAAAATTGATTTTAAGCAATAAGCAGACATGCCATAAATCATAGACCAATCAACACAAAGGGCACAGTATGGGGGATCAGGGGGGCACAGTACAGGGAGAGGCAGGAGGGCACAATACAGGGGGAGTCAGGAGGGCACAGTACAGGGGGGAGGCAGGAGGGCACAGTACAGGGGGGATCAGGAGGGCACAGTACAGGGGGAGGCAGGAGGGCACAGTACAGGGGGAGTCAGGAGGGCACAGTACAGGGGGAGTGGCAGGAGGGCACAGTACTGGGAGAGCAGGAGGGCACAGTACAGGGGGGAGTCAGGAGGGCACAGTACAGGGGGGGGAGTCAGGAGGGCACAGTACAGGGAGAGTCAGGAGGGCACAGTACAGGGGGAGTCAGGAGGGCACAGTACAGGGGATCAGGAGGGCACAGTACAGGGTGAGTCAGGAGGGCACAGTACTGGGATCAGGAGGGCACAATACAGGGATCAGGGAGGGCACAGTACAGGGGAGTCAGGAGGGCACAGTACTAGGATCAGGAGGGCACAGTACAGGGGGGAGGCAGGAGGGCACAGTACAGGTGAGTCAGGTGGGCACAGTACAGGGGGAGTCAGGAGGGCACAGTACTGGGATCAGGAGGGCACAGTACAGGGGGAGGCAGGAGGGCACAGTACAGGGGGAGGCAGGAGGGCACAGTACTGGGATCAGGAGGGCACAGTACAGGGGGGAGGCAGGAGGGCACAGTACTGGGATCAGGAGGGCACAGTACAGGGGGAGTCAGGAGGGCACAGTACAGGGGGAGGGAGGGCACAGTACAGAGGGCACAGTACAGGGGGAGGCAGGAGGGCACAATACAGGGGGAGGCAGGAGGGCATAGTACTTGGATCAGGAGGGCACAGTACAGGAGGGCACAATACTGGGATCAGAGGGCACAGTACAGGGGGAGTCAGGAGGGCACAATACTGGGATCAGGAGGGTACAGTACAGGGATCAGGAGGGCACAATACTGGGATCAGAAGGGCACAGTACAGGGGGACTCAGGAGGGCACAGTACAGGGATCGGGAGGGCACAGTACAGGGGGAGTCAGGAGGGCACAATACTGGGTTCAGGAGGGCACAGTACAGGGGGAGTCAGGAGGGCACAATACTGGGATCAGGAGAAAAACAGTACAGGGGGAGTTCAGGAGGGCACAATATTGGGATCAGGAGGGCACAATACTGGGATCAGGAGAGAACAGTACAGGGGGAGTCAGGAGGGTACAATATTGGGATCAGAGGGCACAGTACAGGGGGAATCAGGAGGGCACAGTAGAGGGGGAATCAGGAGGGCACAATACTGGGATCAGAAGGACACAATACTGGGATCAGGAGGGCACAATACTGGGATCAGGAGGGCACAGTACATGTTCTGGGATTCTGCCCGGGCCATTCTGGGACAGTTTAGTAAAAAGCTTGACTGTCCCGGCAAATCCAGGACATCTGGCAAGTATGATGTAATGCAAGATTATGCAGGGCCCCACGCACCTGGGAGATTTGTTGTGTATGGGGCCCTGTAGCCGCAGACTGGGCATGGTGTCCATGCTGACCCGTGTCCACAGCCAAAAGCTCCTACAATGGGCACTACAAAAATGGGTCCTTAAAGTGCTTCTAATGGGGTCTGCACCTCTGAGGATGCGTGCAGCACTACCTGCCATGTCAGCGCACAGAGGAAATGCACCTTGTCTGATGACAGTGCACCTTCCCAATGCAGCTTAATGGGTCCCTAAAGGTCTTCTAATGGGGTCTGCGCCTCTGAAGATGTTATGCAATGCAACCTCCCCTGCTTTTTAATTACAAAACAGTTGATTTGTGACTGTAGTGCGACATTCCCACCGCGTCATGAAGTGTCTGAGAGTGAAGTAATGACTTTCACAGAGGACAGCCTGATAGAAGAATGTAGGAAACATCTGACGTCGTCATTCTATAAAACGGAGACAGATGGCAGACCCTTCCCTTCTCTGGAGGAACAAAGAAGACTCAGGGGGCAGCAGGCCATGCTGGAATTTGTAGTTCCGGCCAGAGGACCTCCACCGACTTTATAACGTGACACTAATGAGAACAAATTTAGGAAGCAAGAGATTTGCTTTTCACACTCCATGACAGTGAAGTAGACGCAATGTATTCTGTGCTTGACATGAAACATCTGATTGTAGCCATGTCATCTGCCAGGATAATGTTCCCTTGGCATGAAGTTACAGAGTAAATCTCCGCGACATAACATTTATGATGTGTGATCTGTGTTGTGCGGTTTATATGGCGGCTTATGTCGCTGTGCGCTCATCCTGACAGTCTCGTTAGCGGGAAAGCTGGCATGTGCCATCCTGCAGGCATCTGGAGTCGTGTCATCACACCCTTCTCCGGCCATCTCTGTTGGAACACATTTTGTTTCTCATGATCCTCCAGAATTATTTACATACAACTCATCCGCTGTTCCATGACACCAGTCTGCTTTATTGTAAGTTTCAGATTTGAGGAGATGTCAAAGGGTGACGAGACATGATCTCTGTATTTGGGTTTCCAGCTCTGCGCTGGCCATTACTAAGAGGTCTTCTTCTCCCTGTTGGATAATTGTCCTGTTTTAAAGGTAAATTGCTAAAGATAAAACACTTCGTCGCAGGCGATCTCAACCAAGGTTCCGTAGAACTTCATAGAACTTGACAATTCCTCCAGAGGTTGCTAGGGGTTCCTTGACCTGACACTGATTGACCTTCAAATTGATGGTGCCTGAACAGTTTTCAGGTCTAATGCCACCAGTTGTATGATATCTCTTTATCCATGTAAGGGTGGCTTTTTGACCACCAATATAAGGATCATTCTTCCCATTTACCACCAATGTAAGGGACATTCTTCCCACTGACCCCCAATGTAAGGGACATTCTTCCCACTGACCCCCAATGTAAGGGACATTCTTCCCACTGACCCCCAATATAAGGGACAGTCTTCTCCACTGATCCCCAATGTAAGGGACATTCTTCCCACTGACCCCCAATGTAAGGGACATTCTTCCCACTGACCCCCAATATAAGGGACATTCTTCTCACTGACCCCAATGTAAGGGCATTCTTCCCACTGACCGCCAATGTAAGGGACATTCTTCCCACTGATCACCAATGTAAGGGACATTCTTCCCACTGACCTCCAATGTAAGGGACATTCTTTGCACTGACCCCCCAATGTAAAGAGCATTCTTCCCACTGATCACCAATGTAATGGACATTCTTCCCACTGACCCCCACTGACCCCCAATGTAAGGGACATTCTTCCCACTGACCCCAATGTAAGGGGCATTCTTCCCACTGACCGCCAATGTAAGGGACATTCTTCCCACTGACCGCCAATGTAAGGGACATTCTACCTACTGACCCCCAATGTAAAGGACATTCTTCCCACTGATCACCAATGTAAGGGACATTCTTCTCAATGACCACCAATGTAAGAGACATTCTTCCCAATGACCACCAATGTAAGAGACATTCTTCCCACTGACCCCCAATGTAAGGAACATTCTTCCCACTGACCACCAATGTAAGGGACATTCTTAAGACCTCCAATGTAACATTCTTTCTGACCCCCACTGTAAGGACATTCTTCCCCCCAATGTAAGGGACATGTAACTGGAACACATTCTTCCCACTGACCACCAATGTAAGGGACATTCTTCCCACTGACCTCCAATGTAAGGGACATTCTTCCCACTGATCACCAATGTAAGGGACATTCTTCCCACTGACCCCCAATGTAAGGGACATTCTTCCCACTGACCCCCAATGTAAGGGACATTCTACCACTGACCCCCAATGTAAGGGACATTCTTCCCACTGACCACCAATGTAAGGGACATTCTTCCCAACTGGACCTCCAATGTAAGGGACATTCTTCCCACTGACCCCAATGTAAGGGACATTCTTCCCACTGACCCCCAATGTAAGGGACATTCTTCCCACTGACCACCAATGTAAGGGACATTCTTCTCCATGATCACCAATGTAAGGACATTCTTCCCACTGACCCCCAATGTAAGGGACATTCTTCCCACTGACCACCAATGTAAGGGACATTCTTCCCACTGACCTCCAATGTAAGGGACATTCTTTCCACTGACGAAGGAAAAAAGCAGGGACATCTCGGGTGACCTATCAGTGTATATATATATAATACATTACAATTTTTATTCAAACAAAATATAAAACAGATTATGTTACAGAAATCATACTGATCTACACTTGTTGAGTGCGAAACGTTCTGCGTTTCTCGGTAACAAGCGCTTCTTCAGACCTTTATGTGCCAAATATCTCTATGATTAGAAAATATATCTATTAGAACAATTTCCACGCATGGATACAAGTCATGAATACTACACAGCTGGTCCATAAAGAGAACAAAACAAGCACAAAAAAAAAAAGACATGGTTTGGGGGATATCATTTATCTAGACTCGGCGTCCATTTATTGGCTCTATTTGACTTGTTTAAAAATATCTTTAGACTATCTACACATTGGCGCCTGGAATTGCTAATATGATATCTATGAGTACCCATCTTTTGGTCTCTGTCATATGCCTCCCCTTGGTTGTTCATTGGACGAATTAATTGGAAAACACCTGCACGAATTTTGCCTGTAATTTCTCTAATAGATGCATTCCTTTGACCGTCAGCTCCATCTAGTGACCAAAATGCAGTATATTTTCTCATTGAAGTATTTCAGAAAACTATACTGTATTATGGCCAGTAGATGGAGCTGATGGTCATAGGAATTCCTCTATTAGAGACATTGCAGTCAACATTCATGGATATTTTATAAATAGACCCCCGAAACTTCCGATTTCGTTTCCATTTGTGACTTCTTTATGTTTAGCGGCAATAAGCGGGTTTCATGTTTTCCATAAAGCGACTTTGATTTGAGAGAAGGGCGAGCAGCTGTAATGTATGAATCCTAGCACCTCCGTCTCCCTGATCCGGCACACGTCCTCCTCTATTATCCTTCGTCTCCCTTAAATGGATTTCAGAATTCAACGGTGAAATTATTTTGCTAACATTTTCTGTTTGCAATTGAAAATCGCTCTGGAGGTTATTTTGCTTCGGCATTAAAAATGGTACGGCGTGTGTGAAAACCGACTTGTGTCATTACAGACTCCTTCGTTCCGGGATAAATTATGGAAATGGTTTTGCCGTGTTGCAGGGTGCACTTTGCAAAAGAAAATTGCTTCAGGTTAGAGAGCACTTTTATCTTTAAATCTCACGCGGCTCGGGGTTTTTTTTTTTTTTTAAAGAGGCAGAGGGATACGTCTGTGCCGTACCGCTGCCGGAGAAGAGGGATCTGTACAGTACGAGACACTAGAGAATTGATGGGAATAGATCCTTCGGTGGTAGACCACGGAAGACGGGAGTCTGGCACTCTAGGTTCCTGGTGCCCAACCTGAGGCCCTTTGGCACCTTTTGCCCTGATCTGGTGAGGAGCTGCTAACATCTAAAAATGTTGTAGAGCACGGAAGACGCTAGTCTGGCACTCTAGGTTCCTGGTGCCCAACCTGTGGCCCTTTGGCACCTGTTGCCCTGATCTGGTGACAAGCTGCTAACATCTACCAATGTTGTAGACCACAGAAGACGGAGTCTGGCACTCTAGGTTCCTGGTGCCCAACCTGTGGCCCTTTGGCACCTTTTGCTCTGATCTGGTGACAAGCTGCTAACATCTACCAATGTTGTAGATCACGGAAGACGGGAGTCTGGCACTCTAGGTTTCCTGGTGCCCAACCTGTGGCCCTTTGGCACTTTTGCCCTGATCTGGTGAGGAGCTGCTAACATCTACTAATGTTGTAGAGCACGGAAGACGGGAGTCTGGCACTCTAGGTTCCTGGTGCCCAACTTGTGGCCCTTTGGCACCTGTTGCCCTGATCTGGTGAGGAGCTGCTAACATCTACCAATGTTGTAGAGCACGGAAGACGGGAGTCTGGCACTCTAGGTTCCTGGTGCCCAACCTGTGGCCCTTTGGCACCTTTTGCCCTGATCTGGTGAGGAGCTGCTAACATCTACCAATGTTGTAGATCACGGAAGACGGGAGTCTGGCACTCTAGGTTCCTGGTGCCGAACCTGTGGCCCTTTAGCACTTTTTGCCCTGATCTGGTGACGAGCTGCTAACATCTACCAATGTTGTAGAGCACGGAAGACGGGAGTCTGGCACTCTAGGTTCCTGGTGCCCACCTGTGGCCCTTTGGCACCTTTTGCCTTGATCTGGTGAGGAGCTGCTAACATCTACCAATGTTGTAGATCACGGAATACGGGAGTCTGGCACTCTAGGTTCCTGGTGCCCAACCTGTGGCCCTTTGGCACCTGTTGCCCTGATCTGGTGAGGAGCTGCTAACATCTAAAAATGTTGTAGAGCACGGAAGACGGGAGTCTGGCACTCTAGGTTCCTGGTGCCCAACCTGTGGCCCTTTGGCACCTTTTGCCTTGATCTGGTGACTAGCTGCTAACATCTACCAATGTTGTAGAGCACGGAATACGGGAGTCTGGCACTCTAGGTTCCTGGTACCCAACCTGTGGGCCTTTGGCACCTTTTGCCCTGATCTGGTGACATGCTGCTAACATCTACCAATGTTGACCAACCACATTTGTGCCTCCTACACAGTATAAATAACCGTCGTAAAATAGCAACTGTTGGCCGGTCCTTCCTATTGCTGTGTTGTAACCGTGATTTCTAGCAGTCTCATGTAATAGGTCTCCAGTCTATGACTGTCTCCTGAAGCATGTCCCTAGTCCCAAACAACTTCATTACCACGTTCACCATCTCTGACCATCTCTTGTATCATGTCCTCAGTCTCTGATCATCTCCTGTGTTGTGGAATTTCAGTCAGACTGCACTCTTTCGGTGAATGATCAGAGACTAGGGGCATGGTACAGGAGATGATCAGAGACTATGGACATGGTACAGGAGACAATTAGGGACTATGGACATGGTACAGGAGATGATTAGAGACTATGGACATGGTACAGGAGATGATCAGGGACTATGGACATGGTACAGGAGATGATCAGAGACTACGGGCATGGTACAGGAGATGATCAGAGACTACGGGCATGGTACAGGAGATGGTCAGAGACTACAGGCATGGTACAGGTGTCAAGAAAGTAAGCCTTAGATATCAAATAAATACATAACTACACTGTAAGTGCTGGTTTAAACATTATGGTTCAAACCTGGGTTGTGAACGCATCAAAAACGTTTTAAGTAGCTAATACAAGCTAAGAATGTTTTATGACATGACCATTTGGGAACGTAAGTCAAAGATTGCCCTGCACCTTTTTATTGTCTAGTTATTATGTGACATGCCATACTTGGTCATTTCTTTCCAAATTAGATATGGTGACATGCTGCTAACATCTACCAATGTTGACCAACCACATTTGTGCCTCCTACACAGTATAAATAACCGTCGTAAAATAGCAACTGTTGGCCGGTCCTTCCTATTGCTGTGTTGTAACCGTGATTTCTAGCAGTCTCATGTAATAGGTCTCCAGTCTATGACTGTCTCCTGAAGCATGTCCCTAGTCTCCAAACAACCTTCATTACCACGTTCACCATCTCTGACCATCTCTTGCATCATGTCCTCAGTCTCTGATCATCTCCTGTGTTGTGGAATTTCAATCAGACCACACTTTTTCGGTGAACCAAAGAAATGTGTTAATTAATAGCATACGCGTGCATGGGCCAGTCCAGGGGAAGACCGGCCAACAGTTGCTATTTTATTTATACTGTGTAGGAGGCACAAATGTGGTTGGTCAACATTGGTAAATGTTAGCAGCTTGTCACCATATCTAATTTGGAAAGAAATGACCAAATACGGCATGTCACACTATAACTAGACAATAAAAAGGTGCAGGGCAGGGCAATCTTTGACTTATGTTCCCAAATGGTCATGTCATAAAACATTCTTAGCTTGTATTAGCTACTTAAAAAGGTTCTGATGAGGTCAAAACCCAGGTTTGAACCATAATGTTTAAACCAGCAGTTACAGTGTAGTTATGTATTTATTTGGTATCTAAGGCCTAGATTTCTTGACACCTGTATTGCTGTAGTCTCTGACATCTCCTGTACCATGCCCGTAGTCTCTGATCACCTCCTGTACCATGTCCGTAGTCTCTGTATGATATCCACAGTCTCAGACCATTTCTTGTATCATGTCTACAGTCTCTGATCATCTCCTGTACCATGCCCATAGTCTCTGACCATCTCCTGTACCATGTCTGTAGTCTCTGATCATCTCCTGTACCATGCCCATAGTCTCTGACCATCTCCTGTACCATGTCCGTTATCTCTGATCATCTCCTGTACCATGCCCATAGTCTTTGATCATCTTCTGAACCATGTCCATATCATCATTCTGAACCCATAGTCCATATCTCCTGTCCCTGATCTGATCTCTCCTGTACCATCTCCAGTCTCTTAGTCTGTACTAATCATCTCTTCTGAACCATGCCCATATAGTCTCTGTACCATCTCCTGTACTCATGTGCCCTGTCTCTGACCATCTCTGTACCATCGCAGTCTCTTATCATTACCTGTACCATGCCCATAGTCTTTGATCATCTTCTGAACCATGTCCATAGTCCCTGATCATCTCCTGTACCATGTCCATAGTCTCTAATCATCTCCTGTACCATGTCCATAGTCTCTGATCATCTCTTGTACCATGCCCCTAATCAATGATCATCTCCTGATCAGGGACTAGGGGCATGTGGAATAAATGACCAAGTATGGCATGTCACATTATAACTAGACAATAAACAAGGTGCAGGACAATCTTTGACTTATGTTCCTAAATGGTCATGTCATAAAACATTCTTAACTTGCTTGTTTTAGTTACTTTAAAATGTTCTGATGAGTTCACAGCCCAGGTTTGAACCATAATGTTTAAACCAGCAGTTACAGTGTAGTTATGTATTTATTTGATATCTAAGGCCTACTTTCTTGACACCTGTACCATGCCTGTAGTCTCTGACCATCTCCTGTACCATGCCCGTAGTCTCTGATCATCACCTGTACCATGCTCGTAGTCTCTGATCATCTCCTGTACCATGTCCGTAGTCTCTGATCATCTCCTGTACCATGCCCTTAGTCTCTGATCATCACCTGTACCATGCCCGTAGTCTCTGATCATCTCCTGTACCATGTCCGTAGTCTCTAATCATCTCCTGTACCATGCCCTTAGTCTCTAATCATCTCCTGTACCATGCCCGTAGTCTCTGATCATCTCCTGTACCATGCCCGTAGTCTCTGATCATCTCCTGTACCATGTCCGTAATCTCTGTATGATATCCACAGTCTTAGACCATTTCTTGTATCATCTCTACAGTCTTTGATCATCTCCTGTACCATGTCTGCAGTCTCTTATCATTACCTGTACCATGCCCATAGTCTCTAATCATCTTCTATTTGAAGAATGTTTAACAAGTTGTAGTACCCAATCAAGTGTATTGTTATAGTGCCGTCTGGCAGGTGACGTAGGGTCTAATCAAGAGTTGGTTTTCACCAGAGCTTCTGAAGGTTGAGATGGGTCAGAGACCTATATATCCACCAACACTGGTTTTGAAAATAGAGTAATTGTTATGGTGCCCCTGGCAGGTGATGTGGGCTCATCTACGGTGTGGGGTCTAAGCAAGGGTTGATCTTTCGCCAGAGCTCCTGAAGGTTGACATTGGCTGGACACCTATATTGGGCTTATCATATAGTTGTGTGGTGCCCTCTTCCTTCCCACTTTTCTTTGACCACTTCAGGGACCCATAGGAATACCCTGTGTAATAGAGAGCCGCCTCTTAAAACTAGGGATTACACCAGATTATACATTAATTTTGATCCAGTGCTCCACCAACACAGATTTTGCACTTTGAGTAATTGTGGCTCCCACTGGCAGGTGACATGGGCTCACCTGAGATGCAGGGTCTAAGCAAGGGTTGGTCTTCACCAATGCCCACGAAGGTTGATGTTGGTTGGAGACCTATACTGGGCTTACCATAAAGTTGTGTGGTGCCCTCGTCCCTCCCATTTTCCTTTGACTGCTCTGGGGACCCATAGTGATACCGTTTGTACTTGAAAGCTGCCTCTTAAGACTGAAGATTGCACCAGACTATACATACCATTTGATCCAGTGCTCCAATAAAACACATTATGCACTTAGGGTAACTGTTGTGGCTCCCCCGAACAGGTGACATGGCCTCATGCAAGGCATAAGGTCTAATCCAGAATTAGTCTTCAAAAGAGATTCTAAAGGTTGACATCAACTGGAGACCTGTACTGGCCTTATCCTAAAGTTGTGTAGTGCCCTCGTCCCTCCTTTTTTCCATTGACCAATCTGGGGACCCATAGGGATACACTGTGTACTTGAGAGCTGCCTCTTAAGACTAGAGATCACATTAGATTATACATTTGTTTGGATCCAGTGCCCCACCAAAACTGATTTTGCACCTAGAGTAATTGTTGTGGCTCCCCCTGGCAGGTAACATGTGCTCACCTGAGGCATGAGGTCTAATCAAGTGTTGGTCTTCACCAGAGCTCCCGAAGGTCGATGTTGGCCAGACTTATACTGGACTTATCATAAAGTTGTGCAGTTCCCACATCCTTCCCTCTTTACTTTTATCACACCGAGGGCCCACAGAAATACTTAAAATAATAAAGACCTACGTCTTGAGCTTGAAGATTACAACAGATTATATATTCCATTGGATCCACTGATTTTTCACTTTGACTAATAGTTATGGCTTGTGAAGTGGGCTCACCCTATTCGCAGAGTGTAATCAAGAGCTGGTCTTCCCCAGATCTACAGAAGGTTGAAATGGGCTGGAGACCCCAGTTGTTCCTGCTTTCTTGCTGCAAACTATCACCAGGCAGGGCTGTCTTAATCCAGGTGCATTGGGGGCCCCATGATAATCTTACATTACATCATACTTGCCAGCTGTCCTGGATTTCCCGGGATAGTCACGCTTTTTATTAAGCATCCCAGAACCTGTACTGTGCCCTCCTGATCCCATTATTGTGCCCTCCTGACTCCCCCTGTACTGTGCCCTCCTGATCCCATTATTGTGCCCTCCTGACTCCCCCTGTACTGTGCCCTCCTGATCCCATTATTGTGCCCTCCTGACTCCCCCTGTACTGTGCCCTCCTGATCCCATTATTGTGCCCTCCTGACTCCCCCTGTACTGTGCCCTCCTGATCCCATTATTGTGCCCTCCTGACCCCCCCTGTACTGTGCCCTCCTGATCCCATTATTGTGCCCTCTTGATCCCTGTATTGTGCCCTCCTGACTCCTCCTGTACTGTGCCCTCCTGATCCCATTATTGTGCCCTCCTGACTCCCCCTGTACTGTGCCCTGCTGCTCCCATTATTGTGCCCTCCTGACTCCCCCTGTACTTTGCCCTCTTGATCCATTATTGTGCCCTCCTGACTCCTCCTGTACTGTGCCCTTTGTGTTGATTAGTCTTTGATTTATGGAATATTTTTTTATTATTTAAAATCTATTCAATTAAATTAATTAAATTAAATATGTTTAGTTCTATCAACTATTTATACTTTAAATCTTGAGAGTAGGTGCTTAAATTTGGGCAGGCTGGTAGGGGCCCCAGTACATTACATTGCCCAGGGGCTCATGATGCTATTAAGATGGCCCTGTCACTAGGTCACTGCCCTCAGGATTTCCCCACCAATGGGATAGCACGAACAGAACAGCTATCATGTGGAGACTGTTCACTGGATGACAAACATGAGAATACACTAGTAAGGTCCAGACATGGTAAAGTCCAAATAAAAGCTGCACTCCTTATGATACTCAACCTTGTAATGATGGGCGTTCAAAGGGAATGCCACTCATAGTGCCATGCCAGAACCAAATGCAAAGATGGAAAGTCACCAGCACTCCAAATTGATGCATATTGCGTGTGTTTATTGTGAACACAATGTAAACCCAAGGCATAGGAAGCCAACATTTCGGAACCTTGCCGGATTCCTTCCTCAAGCCAACATAGTGGCATAGGTCTAATCAATGAATAACAATACCACCTGTCTACTACTCACTATCATCGTGTTCTGGTAGGTTTTGCTACAGAATATGTAAGGTGTATGATAGATGGGTGAAGGGTAGATGTATTTATTGTGATGCACTAAAATTAGCCACTTCCTCCTAATGGACAGTCTTTCGCATTACAAATAATGTGAGCTTTCCGAAAATGAACGACATAACAGTAATCACAGCTTATCATTTGCAAAGTTGGGTTGGAATATTCCACCGGAACATCTCTTGTTCTAAGTTGATGATCAGGTTCCAGCAACCTTCCACAACCTTTTTACCCTAGAGGAATAACACTTGACATACATTTTTTTTGTCTAAAACTAATTAATTGATGATCAATGGGCACAATTCCCCCTCCCCCCATTGCATTGGGGGTCAGTGGGAAGAATGCTCCTTACATTGGTGATCAGTGGGAAGAATGTCCCTTACATTGGTGGTCAGTGGGAAGAATGTCCCTTACATTGGGGGTCAGTGGAAAGAATGTCCCTTACATTGGTGGTCAGTGGGAAGAATGTCCCTTACATTGGTGATCAGAGGGAAGAATGTCCCTTACATTGGTGGTCAGTGGGAAGAATGTCCCTTACATTGGTGGTCAGTGGGAAGAATGTCCCTTACATTGGTGGTCAATGGGAAGAATGTCCCTTACATTGGGGGTCAGTGGGAAGAATGTCCCTTACATTGGTGGTCAGTGGGGAAGAATGTCCCTTACATTGGTGATCAGTGGGAAGAATGTCCCTTACATTGGGGGTCAGTGGGAAGAATGTCCCTTACATTGGGGGTCAGTGGGAAGAATGTCCCTTACATTGGGGGTCAGTGGGAAGAATGTCCCTTACATTGGGGGTCAGTGGGAAGAATGTCCCTTACATTGGGGGTCAGTGGGAAGAATGTCCCTTACATTGGTGATCAGCGGGAAGAATGTCCCTTACATTGGGGGTCAGTGGGAAGAATGTCCCTTACATTGGGGGTCAGTGGGAAGAATGTCCCTTACATTGGGGGTCAGTGGGAAGAATGTCCCTTACATTGGGGGTCAGTGGGAAGAATGTCCCTTACATTGGGGGTCAGTGGGAAGAATGTCCCTTACATTGGTGGTCAGTGGGAAGAATGTCCCTTACATTGGGGGGGTCAGTGGGAAGAATGTCCCTTACATTGGGGGTCAGTGGGAAGAATGTCCCTTACATTGGGGGTCAGTGGGAAGAATGTCCCTTACATTGGGGGTCAGTGGGAAGAATGTCCCTTACATTGGTGATCAGCGGGAAGAATGTCCCTTACATTGGGGGTCAGCGGGAAGAATGTCCCTTACATTGGGGGTCAGTGGGAAGAATGTCCCTTACATTGGGGGTCAGTGGGAAGAATGTCCCTTACATTGGGGGTCAGTGGGAAGAATGTCCCTTACATTGGTGATCAGTAGGAAGAATGCTCCTTAAATGGGTGGTAAGTGAGAAGAATGCTCCTTACATTGGGGGTCAGTGGGAAGAATGCTCCTTACATTGGGAGTCAGGGAAGAATGCCCCTTATATTGGTGGTCATTCAGAAGAATGCTCCTCAAATTGGTGGTCATTTGGAAGAAAACTCCTTACATTGGGTGTCAGAGGGAAGAATGTCCCTTACATTGGTGATCAGTGGGAAGAATGTCCCTTACATTGGTGATCAGTGGGAAGAATGCTCCTTATATTGGTGGTCAGTGGGAAAGAATGTCCCTTACATTGGTGGTCAGTGGGAAGAATGCTCCTTATATTGGTGGTCAGTGGGAAAGAATGCCCCTACATTGGTGGTCAGTGGGAAGAATGCTCCTTATATTGGTGGTCAGTGGGAAGAATGTCCCTTACATTGGTGATCAGTGGGAAGAATGCTCCTTATATTGGTGGTCAGTGGGAAAGAATGCCCCTTACATTGGTGATCAGTGGGAAGAATGTCCCTTACATTGGGGGTCAGTGGGAAGAATGCTCCTTACATTGGTGGTCAGTGAGAAGAATGTCCCTTACATTGGTGGTCAGTGGGAAGAATGCTCCTTACATTGGTAGTCAGGGAAGAATGTCCCTTACATTGGTGGTCAGTGGGAAGAATGTCCCTTATATTGGTGGTCATTGGGAAGAATACCCCTCCTTACATTGGTGGTCACAATGCCACCCCTACAGATAGATAAAAAGATCATTGGTGTCATGTCACTGGATCTGCCAGGTGTTTTTGGATCTGGGCCTATGCAGGCAACATGAAATGGGAAGTCAATCAGGACTCAAGGACCCCTGGCAACCTCCGGAGGAACCCTGGTTGAGAATGGCTGCCTTCCAAACATTATTGCAAAGGGAAGTTTACCAGTTGTGCAATGCATACAGTAGTTTCCATGCTATGTCTAAGGGTCTGATGACTCCTTCATGAAATGACACACAGACAGATGTTTGTTTCTGTTCCTCTCCTGACTTAAGGATCATATCCCTCTATTGATTATTGATCTGTCACAATAACTCTATGATCATATTCTATAGAAATAACTCTTGCTTTAATAAACTTTGCAGCCCTGTTTTTCATCCTGTTTTTTTGTGTAGACCTCCTTTGATTCATGGCCTCTTCTTGCTGTCTGCCCTCGGAATGTCTGCTGCACTCTTCATCCTTTGTTCTTTTTACAGGTCAGACAGATCCTACTAGCAGTCAGATCTGCAGCCTTTCCATCGGCTCCTGTCCAGCAATGTGTACCTGCAGCAATGGTATCGTGGATTGCAGAGGAAAAGGTCTCACAGCGATTCCAGCTAACCTCCCAGAAACTATGACCGAGATGTAAGTTTTTCCTGTTTTTATTCTTTATAAATGAAACCTGTGCTGAGGGAAAAATGCAAGCTACTATTTTTGACCTTTCCCAACCTTTTTACCCCAGAGGAACCCTTAAAATAATTTCCAGATCTTGGGGAACCCCTTTTAAAACCAATTTATCAGGTGTTAGTGGGAAAAATACCCTCTCTACAGTGGTGGCCCTCGGTAAGGATAATTCATTGGTGGTCAGAGGGAAGAATACTCCTTATATTGGCTATAAGTAATGCTCCCTACATTGGTGGTCGGTGGGAAGAAATGAAGGGCTCCCTACATTGGAGGGTGGTCGGTGGGAAGAATGTCCCTTACATTGGAGGTCAGTGGGAAGAATGTCCCTTACATTGGGGTCAGTGGGAAGAATGTCCCTTTCATTGGTGGTCAGTGGGAAGAATGTCCCTTACATTGGAGGTCAGTGGAAGAATGTCCCTTACATTGGGGGTCAGTGGGAAGAATGTCCCTTACATTGGGGTGGTCAGTGTGGGAAGAATGTCCCTTACATTGGTGGTCAGTGGGAAGAATGTCCCTTACATTGGTGGTCAGTGGGAAGAATGTCCCTTACATTGGTGGTCAGTGGGAAGAATGTCCCTTACATTGGTGGTCAGTGGGAAGAATGTCCCTTACATTGGTGGTCAGTGGGAAGAATGCTCCTTACATTGGTGGTCAGTGGGAAGAATGTCCCTTACATTGGGGGTCAGTGGGAAGAATGTCCCTTACATTGGTGGTCAGTGGAAGAATGTCCCTTAATTGGAATGTCCCTTACATTGGTGATCAGTGGGAAGAATGTCCCTTACATTGGTGGTCAGGAAGAATGCTCCTTACATTGGTGGTCAGTGGAAAGAATGTCCCTTACATTGGTGGTCAGTGGGAAGAATGCTCCTTACATTGGTGGTCAGTGGGAAGAATGCTCCTTACATTGGTGGTCAGTGGGAAGAATGTCCCTTACATTGGAGGTCAGTGGGAAGAATCCCCCTTGTTACATTGGTGGTCAGTGGGAGAAGGAGGAGGACACACTGAAGGAGCTCTCCCTGGGAACCATCATTTTCAAGCTTGGGCCTTGCCTGCTAGCTTAACTGAAGGTCCTCCATATTTCGATGGTCACATTGCCTGATGAAGGGGCCCTGCAAGACTCCGAAACGTTGCCTTGCTGTAACTTCATTAAAGCCTTTTCAGAACCCACATTGGAGATCCTTGGTGTGCTGGTGACATTTCTCTACGTTGACTCCGCTCGGTTCCAGCCGACGGTCGCTGCAGCACCCACCTATGCATACAGCCATTTCTTTTAGGAAACTGTGCGTTGGGATTGGGCATCTCCATATTTCGAAATGCGGTTGCAACACTTTCTGGGCTCCAATGCAAAACATTTTTTGAGAACCACCCATTTTTCTTTTTTGCAATATAGGCGCATTTATTAATTCTGATGGGAAGTGGAATCTGCCTTGTATAGTCACCTTCTTCAGTCAGAGCTTCTTGAGTCATGGAGACCCTTCGGATATGGATGACTCCATAGTCTGAGCCCGCGGTCTAACAGCGGTGTAAGCAGGTGTTGTTTTCCACCTTTTTTTTTTTTACAGACTTCCTAGACGTGCTACTGTGCAACACAAGCGCTTGACAGACACTGATTCATCGCCCCTTGTAAAGTTAAATGACCGTGAGGCTCCTGGAAGCCGAACAGAGGCCTGCCTCGCCATGTGTTGCAGAAGAACGGGGAGGCCCCATTTCCTCCTGTAATTACCACCAGGGCTCTCTGTTACAGCTGATCTCCTCCACTGTCCAGTCCGCTCCGGGGCTCCGGTGACTTCACTTAATACGCAGCTGCGATCCAACAGCCGGAAGAGTCAGCCGAGCTGAAAAACATTGAACGCGCTTTATTATAACACCAAATCATTACATGGGCTCCTGCTGACATCTCCGAAATGTAATTGATGGGAGTGTTGAGTCAGGTCATTGTGCTCCATGGGCACAGCTGACACATCACCTCTTCTCCGCGCATCGCCGTCTCGGGACACTTAGCGCGAGATATTAATTAGCGAATCCCAGGGGGGCTTTTTGAGGCTTTAAGAAGGGCACTTTCAAAGGTGACCGAACTCTTCATGTAAAAGCAATCTTGGTAATCGGAAATTAGCTATGAAAGCCAAGATTAGTCATTTAGGAGTAATACCTGTCTATTATCTAGAAAATTACTTTCCTGCCGCTCTTGTTGCTCGGAATATAGGCTTGACGCGCGGGAAATCTGGTTATGGCGTAGAATAAGTCGCTGAAGTTAAATAGTCAAAATTCTACAGATTATCTTTGGCACATTTGAGGGGCTAATCAGAAAAAAATTATGAAAATAATTTGCCTATTCCTACATGAACAGTCAGTAGCTCCCATCCAGTACATTTGACATTGATGGTTGGCCCTTTTACGGCCACTATGTAGAGAAAGCGAATCTTTTTGAGTTTTGTTATAGTTAAAAAGTTGCTGGAGGGTCTTTTTGCCCAGAATAAGTAATTGAAGTTAAATAGTCAAGATTCTACAGATTATCTTTGGCACATTTGAGGGGCTAATCAGAAAACAAATTATGAAAATAATTTGTCTATTCCTACATGAACAGTCAGTAGCTCCCATCCGGTACATTTGACAACGATGGTTGGCCCTTTTACGGCCACTATGTAGAGAAAGCAAATCTTTTTGAGTTTTGTTATAGTTAAAAAGTTGCTGGAAGGGTCTTTTTTGCCTAAAATAAGTAGTTGAAGTTAAATAGTCAAAATTCTACAGATGGCTATGGCACATTTGCGGGGATAATCCGAAAAAATGTATGAAATTAATTTGCATATTCCTACATGAACAATCGGTAGCTCCCATTCGGTACATTTGACATCAATGGTTGTCTCCCCTAAGACCTTTATAGAGAGAAAGGGAAACTTTTTGAGTTTTGTTTTAGTTAAAAAGTTGCTGGAAGGGTCTTTTTTGCCCAGAATAAGTCGCTGAAGTTAAATAGTCAAAATTCTATAGAAGTCTTCAGCACATTTGCTATGAAAATAATTTGCCTATTCCTACATGAACAGTCAGCAGCTCCCATCCAGTACATTTGACCACGATGGTTGGCCCTTTTACGGCCACTATGTAGAGAAAGCGAATCTTTTTGAGTTTTGTTATAGTTAAAAAGTTGCTGGAAGGGTCTTTTTGCCCAGAATAAGTAATTGAAGTTAAATAGTCAAAATTCTACAGATTATCTTTGGCACATTTGAGGGGCTAATCCGAAAAAAATTTATGAAAATAATTTGCCTATTCCTACATGAACAATCGGTAGCTCCCATCCGGTACATCTGACATTGATGGTTGGCTCTCTTATGACCTTTATGGAGAGAGAGGGAAACTTTTGGAGTTTTGTGATAGTTAAAAAGTTGCCCAAAATAAGTAGTTGAAGTTAAATAGTCAAAATTCTACAGATGGCTTCAGCACATTTGCGGGGCTAATCCGAAAAAATTAATGAAAATAATTTGCCTATTCCTACATGAACAATCGGTAGCTTCCATCCGGTACATTTGACATAGATGGTTGGCTCTCTTAAGACCTTTATAGAGAGAAAGGGAAACTTTTTGAGTTTTGTTTTAGTTAAAAAGTTGCTGGAAGGGTCTTTTTGCCCAAAATAAGTCGCTGAAGTTAAATAGTCAAAATTCTACAGAAGGCTTCAGCCCAATTGCTATGAAAATAATTTGCCTATTCCTACATGAACAGCCACTAGCTCCCATCCCGGTACATATGACATTGATGGTTGGCCCTTTTACGGCCACTATGTAGAGAAAGGGAATCTTTTTGAGTTTTGTTATAGTTAAAAAGTTGCTGGAAGGGTCTTTTTTGCCTAAAATAAGTAGTTGAAGTTAAATAGTCAAAATTCTACAGATGGCTATGGCACATTTGCGGGGCTAATCCGAAAAAATTAATGAAAATAATTTGCCTATTCCTACATGAACAATCGGTAGCTCCCATCCGATACATTTGACATTGATGGTTGGCCCTTTTACGACCACTATGTAGAGAAAGGGAATCTTTTGGAGTTTTGCTATAGTTAAATAGTTGCTGGAATGGTCTTTTTGCCCAAAATAAGTCGCTGAAGTTAAATAGTCAAAATCCCACAGATGGCATCAGCACATTTGCGGGGCTAATCCGAAAAAATTAATGAAAATAATTTGCCTATTTCTACATGGACAATCGGTAGCTCCCATCCGGTACATTTGACATTGATGGTGGCTCTCTTACAACCATTATTGAGAGAAAGGGAATTTTTTGGAATTTTTGTTATAGTTAAAAAGTTGCTGGAAGTGTCTTTTTTCCCCAAAATAAGTAGTTGAAGTTAAATAGTCCAAATTCTACAGATGGCTTCAGCACATTTGCTGTGAAAATGATTTGCCTATTCCTACATGAACAGTCGGAAGCTCCCATCTGGTACATCTGACATTGATGATTGGGTCTCTTACGGCCATTATGGAAACAAGGGGAATCTTTTGGAATTTTGTTGTCAGTAAAAAGTTGCTGGAAGGGTCTTTTTTTCCCCAAAATAAGTAGTTGAAGTTAAATAGTCAAAATTCTACAGTCAAAATTCTACATGGCTTCAGCACATTTGATATGAAAATAATTTGCCTATTCCTACATGTACCATCCGGTACATCTGACATTGATGATTGGGTCTCTTACGGCCATTATGGAAACAAGGGGAATCTTTTGGAATTTTGTTGTCATTGAAAAGTTGCTGGAAGGGTCTTTTTAGTCCAGTTGTGCTCCTGAGAGTTCAAAAAGAGAAAGTTGTACTTTCAAATATTTTTTTAAAGTTTAGTTTAGGTAAAGTGGCCACTTGACCTCCAAAAAGCTTTAACCCCTTCCTGACCAGGCCATTTTTTGCGATACGGCGCTGGTTTACTTTAACTGGCTATTGCGTGGTCACGCAACACTGCACATAAATGAAATGTGTCATTTTTTCCCCCCATAAATAGAGCTTTCTTTTGGGTGGATTTGATTTTTTTTTTTTTTTTTTTTAAACATACCCATAGAAAAATGTAAAAGATCAAATTTCTTCATTAATTTAGGCCAAAATGTATTCTGCTTCTTGTCTTTGGTAAAACAAAAATCCCAATAAGTGTATATTGATTAGTTTACGTGAAAGACTCCCCAGCTTATATCTGAATCCAGCAGAGTTCCCCTTTACATCTGCATTCTTCCCACTGTCCACCAATGTAAGGGACATTCTTCCCCTGATCACCAATGTAAGGGACATTCTTCCCACTGACCACCAATGTAAGGAGCATTCTTCCCACTGACCTCCAATGTAAGGGACATTCTTCCCACTGATCACCAATGTAAGGGGCATTCTTCCCACTGACCCCCAATGTAAGGGACATTCTTCCCACTGACCCCCAATGTAAGGGACATTCTTCCCACTGACCACCAATGTAAGGGACATTCTTCCCACTGACCCCAATGTAAGGGACATTCTTCCCACTGACCCCCAATGTAAGGGACATTCTTCCCACTGACCACCAATGTAAGGGACATTCTTCCCACTGACCCCCAATGTAAGGGACATTCTTCCCACTGACCCCCAATGTAAGGGACATTCTTCCCACTGATCCCCCAATGTAAGGGACATTGACCACCAATGTAAGGGACATTCCCACTGACCCCCAATGTAAGGGACATTCTTCCCACTGACCCCCAATGTAAGGGACATTCTTCCCACTGATCCCCCAATGTAAAGGGCATTCTTCCCACTGACCCCAATGTAAAGGGCATTCTTCCCACTGATCACCAATGTAAGGAACATTCTTCCCACTGACCCCCAATGTAAAGGGCATTCTTCCCACTGACCCCCAATGTAAAGGGCATTCTTCCCACTGCCCCCAATGTAAAGGGCATTCTTCCCACTGACCCCCAATGTAAGGGACATTCTTCCCACTGACCCCCAATGTAAAGGGCATTCTTCCCACTGGACCCCCAATGTAAAGGGCATTCTTCCCACTGACCCCCAATGTAAAGGGACATTCTTCCCACTGACCCCCAATGTAAAGGGCATTCTTCCCACTGACCCCCAATGTAAGGCATTCTTCCCACTGACCCCCAATGTAAGGGCATTCATCCCACTCTTCCCAATGTAAGAAGCATTCTTCCCACTGACCCCCAATGTAAGGGACATTCTTCCCACTGACCTCCAATGTAAGGGACATTCTTCCCACTGACCACCAATGTAAGGGACATTCTTCCCACTGATCCACAATGTAAGGGGCATTCTTCCCACTGATCCCCAATGTAAGGGGCATTCTTCCCACTGACCACAATGTAAGGAACATTCTTCCCACTGACCACCAATGAATTGGTATTAGTAAGGGTTCCCTATGAGTGACCTGAAAATGATTTGGTGGGTTCCTTTGTGGTAAATATGTAAAGTCTGACTGATACTGTGTGAAGTATGGTGAAGGTTCCCTATAATTATGCTCAGGCAAGGGCACACATCAGTCCACCTGACTCTTCTGTGACTTTACTAGCTTGCATGTCCTGGGCTGCAACTCAGAAGGTCGGAGGTCGGAGTCGGAGGTCGGAGTCGGATGGATGTTTAGCTTTCACTAATTATTGGTTTCCTTTACCTGTTATCATCTATAAAGGTCTCACTGAATATTTCTAAGAAATATGACCTCGTGGATTTTAGGATTTGTTCTTTTTGACGGATGAAATTGAGATGGCGCCATGTTTTGAATCCGCTGTAAAGAAAAATGCTGTATCTGTGTTGAAAATGAGTGCAAGTGCAGCCTATTCTGTAATCCGCAGCTCTAAAAATAATAGCCTGGCTCTGATTTTATTTTCATTATATCTTACCTTCTCTTCAGACGCTTGGAGCAGAATGGGATCAAGTCTGTACCCCCCGGAGCGTTCTCTCCGTACAAGAAACTGCGCAGGATGTAAGTACCCAAAGCTGTAACTGATTTCACGACATGCCACAATGTGACCACTAGATGGCAAGCAGGAGCATACTTATTTTCTGTTATACTCAGCACCATCTACTGGCCATAATTTGGTAGGACCGCTAGATGGTGCTGGCTGTGATGCGGCATTTATCGCCTTCACACTAATTGCAGAGAATGTAGATATGTCAACCTTTTATAAATACATCGAAGTATACAATGAGCAATGTTGGAATATCCCTTCTTAGTCCCCAATTAACTCTGCCTAGCCTGATTGTTACCCTACTAGTTAACTCTGCTGAACCTCATTGTTCCCTTTAGTTAAATCTACTGAATCTGATTGTTACCCTCTAGTTAACTTTACTTTATTGTTACCCCCATAATTAACTCTGTGTAACCTGATTGCTGCTACCCCCTAGTTGGTTCTACTTCACCTCACTGTTCTTCCCTCGTTAGCTCGGCTTAGCCTTATTGGTACTCCTTAGTTTACCCTACTTACCTTCTTGTTACCCTCTAGTTTACCCTACTTACCTTCTTGTTACCCTCTAGTTTACTCCACTTACCATCTTGTTACCCTCTACCCTCTAGTTTACTCTACTTACCTTCTTGTTACCTCTCTAGTTTACCCTCTATCTTGTTACCCTCTAGTTTCTACTTACCTTCTTGTTACCCTCTAGTTTACTCTACTTACCTTCTTGTTACCCTCTAGTTTTACTCTACTTACCTTCTTGTTACCCTCTAGTTTACTCTACTTACCTTCTTGTTACCCTCTAGTTTACTTACCTCCTTGTTACTCTAGTTTACTACTTACCTTCTTGTTACCCTCTAGTTTACTCTACTTACCTTCTTGTTATCTTAGTTTACTCTACTTACCTTCTTAGTTTACCCTCTAGTTTACCTACTTACCTTCTTGTTACCCTCTAGTTTACTCTACTTACCTTCTTCTTACCCTCTACCTCTTCTTAACTGTATTGTTACCTCCTACTTACCTTCTTGTTACCCTCTAGATAACTCTTAACCTCTACTTACCTTCTTATTGTTACCCTCTAGTTTACTCTCTACTTCTTGCCCCAATTAACTATCCTTACCCCACTAGCTACCTTCTTAACTGCATTGTTACCCCCCTTACCCTCTTACCTCATTGTTACCCCTACTTACCTCCTTGTATTGTTACCCTCTAGTTACCTCTGCTACCTCTTGCTACCCCCTGGTTGCCTTTTGTTAACCTCATTATACCCCCTAGCTACCTCTGCTTACTCTACTTACCATAGCTTCTCTGTTAACCTCATAGTTACCCCCTACTCTACTTACCTCATTGTTACCCTCTAGTTGCCTCTACTTACCTCATTGTTACCCCCTATCTGTCTCTACTTAACTGTTACCCCCTAGCTACCTCTACTTAACCTCATTGTTACCCCTTAGTTCTTCTACTTAACCTCATTGTTACACCCTAGCTTACCTCAGCTTAACCGTATTGTTACCCCCCTAGCTACCTCAGCTTAACCTGTATTGTTACCCCCCTAGCTACTTAACTGTATTGTTACTACCTCAGCTTAACTTATTGTTACTAGCTACCTAGATAACTCTAGCTACCATCAACAACTCATTGTTACCCCCCTACCTCAGCTTACCGTATTGTTACCCCCCTAGCTACGTATTGTATTGTTTAGCTACCTAAGCTTCCTTAGTTACCCCCTAGCTACTCTAACGATTAATGTTACCCCCAAAGATCCCTTTCTTAGTGCCCCAAGTTGCCTTTAACTATCCTTACCCCCTAGTTAACCTCACTTAACCGCATTGTTACCCCTAGCTACCTCAGCTTGAAAACCGCATTGCCCCAATTAACTATCCTTACCCCCTAGCTACCTCTGCTTAACCTCATTGCTACCCCCTAGCTTTCTCTGCTTAACCGTATTGTTACCCCTCCAAGCTACTGTACCTCTGCTTGGCCTCATTGTTAACCCCCCTTATTGTTACTCCTTAGTTACCTCTACGCTTAACCTCATTTGTTGGAAATCCCTTCTTAGTTACCCCCTTAATTAACTATTGTTACCCCACTAGTTGCCTCTACTTTACCTCATTGTTACCCCCTATCTTTACTTTACTTAACCGAATTGTTACCCCCTAGCTACCTCTACTTCACCTCATTGTTACCCTTAGTTGCCTCTACTTCACCTTATTGTTACCCTTTAGTTACCCCAACTTAACCGTATTGTTACCCCTAGTTACCTCACTTCACCTTATTGTTACCCTCTAGTTACATCACTTAACTTATTGTTACCCCCCTAGTTACCCCAGCTTATCTGTATTGTTACCCCTAGTTACCTCACTTCAACTGTATTGTTACCCTCTAGTTACCTCAACTTAACTGTATTGTTACCCTCTAGTTACCTCCCAACTTCACCTTATTGTTACCCCCTAGTTGCCTTTACTTAACCTTCATTGTTACCCCTCTATTTAACCCTACTTAGCCTTATTGTCATACCCTCTAGTTAACTCTACAATTCAATGTTGATTGTTACCCTTCTAGTTGCCCCAATTCACTATCCTTACCCCACTAGTTACCTCTACTTCACCTTATTGTTACCCCCTAGTTACCCCAACTTCACCTTAATTGTTACCGTATTGTTACCTCCAAGCTACTGTACCTCTGTTACCCTCATTGTTAAACTTCACCTTATTGTTACCCTTAGTTACCCTCTACTTCATTAATGTTACCCTTCTTAGTTGCCCCAACTTCACCTTATTGTTACCCCTCTAGTTACCACTACTTTACCTTATTTTACCCTCTTAGGTTAATTTACTTCACCTGATTGTTACCCTCTAGTTACCCCAACTTCACCTTATTGTTACCCTCTAGTTACCCCAACTTCACCTTATTGTTACCCTTTAGTTACCCCAACTTTACCTTATTGTTACCCTCTAGTTACCCCAACTTCACCTTATTGTTACCCTCTAGTTACCCCTACTTCACCTTATTGTTACCCTCTAGTTACCCCAACTTCACCTTATTGTTACCCTCTAGTTACCCCAACTTCACCTTATTGTTACCCTCTAGTTACTCCAACTTCACCTTATTGTTACCCTCTAGTTACCCCAACTTCACCTTATTGTTACCCTCTAGTTAACTCTACTTAGCTTTATTGTTACTCCCTTGTTACCTGTAATTATTCCTGTTGTTACCCTCTATTTAACTCAACTTAGCCTTCTTGTTACCCCATGATAACACTACTTAACTTGACTGTTACCCCCTAGATAACTTATCTAATCTTATTGTTACCCCCAGTTAAACCTACTTTAACCTTTCTGTAACCCCCCCCATTTAACTCCATTTGGCCTTATTGTTACCCCCTAGATATTGCTCCTCTCTCGATAACTCTACTTAGGCGTATTGTTACCCATTAGTTTTCTCTGCCTAGCTTTATTGTTCCTCATTCCTGTCACGGCTTCAACTGATTGCCTCCCTCACTACTTTAGAACTTTGGATTGGCATCCTAAGTTGACCCTTGTGGGTGACGTTGCGTTTGGGACATTCAGTTGTAAATGCCACCTGATTAGTGCCTTCATTCACTAATTAGGAATATGTCTCAGCTAAAGTCTCCCAAAGTCCCAAAGAAGTCAGAAATTCGCTTTAATTGCATATTCTTCAAATGTCATGCCGATGTATTTTCTCCTCTTTCCTAAGCAGCCGTCTCCTGCAGAGAGGACGGCGGCAGAATGAAGTTAATTGCTTAGCCCGTCGGTTCTCTGCCTGTCCTTCAAACTTCTCTGCCATGCTTTTAGCCCGAAAGGCCAGTAAGTAATACTGGGGGCAAGTAGGAAGCAGGTGGAGAGAGACGCAATGTTGGCTCCCAGTGAGCATCCTGAGGTTGCTGTGCCAACAGGGGCGGACTGACCATTTGGAAACTCGGGCACTGCCTGAGGCCCGGGGTCAGTAGGGGGCCCCATGAGATGCCCCTGGTACCTTTTTCATAGGCTTTTTTGAGTTTGGGCAAGGACACGGGCCCCATGATCCCTTACTGCCCTGGGGCCCCATGAGTTCTCAGTCCGCCCCTGTGTGCCAACATCTATGTATGAAGCCCACCCCTAAAATACTTGGAGATCCAGCGTTGCCTCATACCAGGTAGTCACGTGTCCTTTCCTTCAGCACAAAACCCAAAAACTGGAAGCTATTTGCTTACGGGTAAATTGATGGAGTCATGCAAATGATTCCTTTATTACCCCTTTCAGCCATCAGTGCCCCCGGAACCATTGCTGCATAGCACAGATACAAGGCAGTATCAGAAAGTTTCGAGACTAGTTTTGTAACACGCCAACAGATGGCAGCACAAGGCTGCA